TATATCGAACGCGCATTTGTCATCGCTCCGCTCCTCCTCATGCTTGTTCTCTCTTGCTACCTAAGCAGTATGCTATTGGAAGGCAATTTGATTATAATGTATGCGAAAAATTTATGGGTGAGACTTGATAAAAGGTATGACTTAGAGGTATGATTTAGAGGTGAGACTTAGAAGTGAGACTTGGCGTATATATATCTTAGAGGTGTGATTCAAAGGTGAGACTTAGAATATAGTATGCATTTTAAGCTTGCATGATCGGGCCTAGCTCAAATCGCGACACTTTGTTCCTTGATTTTCGCTGGGCACTCTAGAGGCAAGCAGAATAGTATAAAAGTTATTATTCATATTGAGTTTGCAATGTCGGGCCCAGCTCAAATCATGTCACTTTATTCCTTGATTTTCGCTGGGCCTTCCTAAGGCAAATAGATTAGTAAAAAAATTTTTGTTATATTATTTGGAATTAAAATCAGGCTAGAATGGTTATATCAAACAGTATAATTCTTGGTATCAGACAGGCTAATTCCTAGCTAAGTTCGATAACATTATCTATATTTGAGTCAAAAAAGCGTTAGAGCTTTGAATTTAATATTGGAAATCATATAGCAAATTGGGTTCGTAAACAGATTTGGAGGTGGATTTGGAGTTTGCACTAGAATCCCCTTTTTTGCCTATATAAAAATAATAATGATTTTTATTTTGCTACAAGCTATAATATTGATTTTTTAATTTTTTTTGATTTTCTATTAGTAGTTTAATTCAATAAAACAAAAAAGCAAAGTAAATTCAAAAATATCAGTTGATAACTCTTTTGTATAAGCTGAGATATGTAAAGTATTTATAATTTATTATTTTTAAAAATATCTTACAAATTAAATTTTTTTAAATTAGTATAGTACAACTCCATTAATACAAAAGGTATTTCTATTATTTATACCTTTTATTAGTTTTATTATTTTAAATTAATCGATTCAATACAATTAATAAATGCTTTACTTATAAATAAATTAGAAATTTTACTTGAAAAATAATTAAAGATATATAAAATTGGACCACACTTTCAATTAGTACACCTATAGATATTGAATCTTATACTGATTCTAATATATCATATGATATAGCAAAGAATAAAGGAAAAAAGGTGATTAGAAATAAACCTTTTAACAATTTGTCTACATTAATACAAGATAATTTGTTATCATATGTTAAAAAAAATAAGTAAAACCAAATATGCAGCAGCTGAAACTACAAAAATGAATGAAAATAATAGCGATGATGATTTACAAGAAATGACGCTTAATAAGCAACAGTATCAGCTACAAAATAAGAAATATAAAGATGACAATTTACAAAAAATTTCACCTGGCAATGAAAATTGAATAAATATAAAGATAGTAATGAAGATTTACACAAACTTTCATTAAAAGAACAGCAACTTAAAAAAAAATTATGATGACAATTTACTAGAAATTCCACATAAGAAATGACTTCAACAAAATAAGAATAAACACTAAAATAATGATAGTGATGAAAATTTGCAAAAAATTTTACCAAAAAAGCAAAAACAGGAAGACTCTTCATTAATTAATAAATTTGATAATAAACGTCGTTCTAGAAGATCAAAAAAGTAAGCAAAATACATAAATTTTGAATTTTATCAATTTTTTTCTAACCTTTAAAACATTTTAAAATAGATTATAGAATTTAAATCTTTTAGTAAGTATATCTATTATTTATTATGTAAATATTGTTTTAAGAAATAATTGCAACTTAATTATAGTTTTAATTATTTAGTACAATTATACTCTCTCTCTCTCTCTCTCTCTCTCTCGAGAGAGAGAGAGAGAGAGAGTTATAATGTGAAATATTAGAAATGACGGCACCTCATGGTTTAACCATCAGGTAAGAACACTATAATAATATTTATTTTCCAACTAAATCTAATTGAAATATTTTTAAAAAATATATAAGTATACTGTAGGATCAAGTTATTGGTCTTTATTTTTTTTAATCTTGTCTACATCTATATTTTTGTATTTTGCGGTCTATAAAATAAAATTTTTTCAAAAAGTTTAAATTGAATAGATCATTTTAATATGTGAAAAAATAAAAAATATATACATAAATGATTTATAGTAAAATATACGATATTTTTCGGAATTTTATTTGTTATGGTTATTTATGTTTTGACACCCTACAAAAAATTTCGACTGTGAAATTTATTTGGATATTATATATACATACTTGTTGTAAAATAATAGGAGAAAATGTAGGTAAATCGTCTCGAAAACATATGATATTTTCAGACTGTGCAGAGTTAGGTTTATTTCATGTTTTGGCACCCTACATAGTCCAGAAATCGCTGTTATTTTTTCCATAGTTTGATGTACTTAAACTCCCTCTTAACGACGAACAGTTTAAGCTTAACAACAGGATAAAAAAGAATAAGGGGTAATAAACAAAGGATTAGTTATTTTCATAGTAAAATATTTAAAATCACGGGGCGTTAATAAAAAAGTTATTTCACGGGAATTTCAATGAATATCATGATTTTCATGGCTGCTCTGTGAAATTTATTGATATTCATGAATTCCCGTGAAATAATTATTACTTATTTAATTCAAAACAAAGAAAATATGACGATAACAAATTAAATTATATCTTAATTATTAATTATGACTATTCAAAATTAAATTAATATATCAAATAATATTATTTTCAAAAATCTATATTGAATCTTACTTTTTTTGCAGCTATTTATTTAACAAATGGCCGAAATTAAGCTTTCTGTAATAATGGACGAATTAAGTATGAATTTATCCATGCAAACATCAGTTATATATGGATCACTCTTTAAACCTTCAACTTCCCAACCATTACTAATTTTATCACAATCAGCTTGTCGGAACGATAGGTAAGAAAAACAGCTTTTTTCAATTAATTTTGTTTGAAGAAAATTTTATAAACACTCATTATAGGTATAAGCAGGTCGTGATTATCTAAATAAATTAAAATGTCTCTTTCTTCGGGTACGAAGTCCACAAAGAAGTGCAATTGAAGATTTACAGTAGTTCGGCAAATAATCAAATGTGAACTTAATTCAGTTGAAGGTATTGAATTGAAGCGAATAGCCAATAGGAATTTTGGGGATTTCCGAAATAAACTGTTAGATGGTGTCGAAGAGTCAAAGATTTCAAAGAAAAAAGAGTCCGGTGTGTAACCTCTTTTATTTTAATTGAGTTATTGTCACTAATACCGTTTTAATAATTATATTTTTATTTATGGTGAAAGAAATTCTACAACATGCACTTTACAGAATTGATGAGAGATTAGTGCATTTGTGGATGAATCTTTAACGATTAATATATCTTACAACGAACAAAAAACATGACTGAATTAAGGGCTCGCTCAGAGAGTATATATTACAAATTACAATTCAAGAGGTACGTAAGGTACAAAGAATCTAGATAGAATGACAAAAAAAATTGCCGTTCCATCACGAAGTAACAATAATTTCGCCAATAATTTACGATTATAAATTTTAATTAACATATTTTATTAGCATTTATTTAATACTAAAATAACACTTATTATTGTGACGTTGTAGCTGTAGCGATTTTTATATATTAAATTTCGAAGAATTATATTTTTTAAATACGATATTAAATTTCGTCAAATTTTATTTATAAAAATAATATAAATCGACTGGGAAATATTCAGCTTACTGCTAAATACTTGACATAACTTTGCATAAACTTTGGGTGAACTTTCAAAATTACATTTTTCTACTAATTTTCAGCGTTAATTACATTTTTATTATACTTCACCACGACTCGACTTCGTTAAGAGATATGCAATTTGTAAACGATCACGCGACGATCAAACGAAAAATCACCAGGTTTCAGTAAAGTATTCACAAATGGTGATATTGTAAATTGGTGGTGTCAATGAAGTACCAATGTTGTAATATTAGAAACAACAAAAATTCAATGGAAAATTCCATTAGTTTCAGGAACTGCTTAAAATTAACACGCTGCAAAATTGTATGTCTAGTATTTTTTTATATTTAAAAGCTTTATTTTAACCTTTTTAGGAAAAAGATCTGATGGCTTATAAACGAATTCTTCATCCTATCCTACCACCATTAACATTCTATTATCCATAGCGAAATCAATATTCTTTATTATTTATTGTTTCAATAGCGAGTTTATTTTTTACAAATATAATATTATACTCAAATGATTCATAACACACATTCACATTACAAATATGCAGTCAACAGTGCTTTCAATACATATTAGATGGCAAATGAAAAAACTCGACACCAGTCAATTTGCTAAACAACTTGGTATTTGTATACATCTATTGGTCGTAATATAAGGGTCGTTACATACTGACAATACCGGCGGTCGAGCCGTAATATTTAATTTGTCCCGGGTCTTATGAAAACAGCAGTAAGAAAAAATCATTTTTTTTACTACTTTTCGGGTTCGGGCATTACGGTTGCATAAACATTTGTTTATTTTTAGTTTCGTTTGAATGATTTTTTTTTTACACTTTCGGGTTCTATCGCTTCGTGCCGGAAATATAAATTTTTTTTTTTTTTAAATTTTTTATTTCCTTTTGATTCTTGAATTTCATTTTCGAGTTGAAGGATAGGTAATGACTTTTTTTCTTCCTTTGATCATTTATTTATTTTTTAGGTTTAATCGTGTAACGGACTTTTTTTCTGATTTGTTTTTTTTATCAATTTTTCGAATATTTTTTTTCCTAGATTTAAATAATAAAGTTTATAAAAAGGCATTAAGAGCACACAATTAAAAATCATGTTGGAATCGACTCTACCAAATTCAAATAAATCTAGAAAATCTGAATAATAATATAATCATTTTAATACACGCAGTAAGTCGGGCTATAATAAGGGATGCAATTCTGTCACAGTTTAGAATATTCATTTTTATTTGATTGTTAAAAAGGAATTGACAGCACTCTACTATCAACTTCAATAACAAGAGAATAGAATATTTACAAGATACATTCTAACCTTATTTCATGTAGTGAGAAGATTTCCAAGTTTCTCATAACTTTCAATTGATTACAAAAAATGTCACGAGATTACTGTATTTTCGTATATCATCCTTTTTATATAGCTTTATTTTTCACTATAATCAAATAATAAACATTTACTTATCACAATACGATCGAATTCATTTAGTTACTTACCTAGAAAGAACAAAAATATCGTTTATAATCAGAATAATAGGTTTCATTTGTAATTTGTATTCACGTAACCTTTTGATATTAAATACGATAGCATAGCGTGGGAAGCAAAATATTACATATTTAATGATTCACTCCATTTACCACATTTCTACTTTTTTTTTGGTAAAGTTAGTGATACATTCTCAATTTTACTTTACCTTTTCTAATGATGTGATGATTAACATTTTATCTTAAATTTAGATAAATTTATAATATAATTAACATTGATATTCAAAGCGATTCAATAACACAAATAATTTGTCATGCAATTTAGTACTAATTTGCGAATGTGTAACATATGTACTACAGTGTCGATCATATTCTATTGGTATAAAGCCGGAGTTTTCTCACCGTTTATCTTTTTCTGAAATATATTTTTCTATTATGGCCTCTATTAATAAAAATTTGGTTTGGGATGCAATTAGAAGAGCAGACGCATTAACTGATTATAACACAATAGACAAACAGTTTGAATTTAAACAACAAACAATTAGCACAGACTCAACGCTCACAAAAGAGGAAAAATCAGAAGCAATACAAAAATTAACTCTGTCTCATGACTACTATAAAATTACCTTAAATCAAGGAATAAAAAGAATTTGTGAAAACTGCAAAATAGAATGTTTAGCAACATCATATTGTGAACATTGTATTCGAAGTTATTTAAAAGCAAAATTTTCTGAATGGACATCTGGAAACAATGAAATTGATAATTTAATACAAAAATGTCAGTCGAAAGCAGTTATTCCATATAAAATAGTTGAATGGATACCATATAATAATATACAAAATATCAAATATTTAACTAAAGGTGGATGCTCTGAAATATATACGGCAGATTGGATTGATGGACGTTATTACAAATGGGATTCTATCAGAAAACAATTAATAAGACATGGAAGACAAAATGTCATACTTAAAAGATTAGAAAATGTCGAAAGTGCTAATAGAAGTTGGTTTGAAGAGGTATGTAAATTTTAAATGTATAAAATTAAAAAAATAAAAGTATTCTCATTTATAGGCTGAATCTCAATTAATAATAAGCAGCAAATGGGGAAGTTTCGCTCAATCTTATGGTCTTATTCAAAATCCACAAAATAAAGATTATTTTCTTGTGATGGTTAAATTCAAAATAGATTTAAGAAAATATTTACAACAAAATCATAACCAACTTATATGGAAACAAAGAATCAACATAATTGTACACATAATCCAAGCAGTTTCACGACTTCATCGTGAAAATTCTATTCATAGAGATTTGCATTCAGGAAATATATTATATTCTGAATATACTGAACAATGGTATATTAGTGATTTTGGATTTTGTGGACCTGCTGATAAACCATTAGGAAGTATATATGGGAATCTTCCTTATATAGCACCCGAAGTTATATTTGGAAAAGGATATACTTTTGCATCAGATATTTTTAGTATCGGTATGCTTATGTGGGAGATTTCATCTGGACAACCACCTTTTGCTGGTTTGGAACATAATTATGATCTAGTAATGAAAATAATGAATGGAGTGAGACCAAAATTAGTACCAGGAACTCCATTGGAATATGCAAATTTAATAGTACAATGTTGGGATGCTGATCCATTAAAGAGATATGATATTGATACCCTTGATGATAAAATTAAAGAAATACGAAAATCGTCTTATCAAAATGAAAATGAAGTAAATACAATTAATATTGATTGTATACAATCAAATGACGATAATAATATAAATACTAGCTCTACTAGTTCATTGGTTAGTAAATTTAGTAAAATTCATATTTTTTAAAGATTTACCTGAACCAAAAAATGCTGACGAATGTAAGTTATTAAATTACAAATTATTGCCAATAAATTATTTGAATTATTTAATTTTAATTTTTAAATATTTTATAAATAACTGATATTTTTTTAAAAAATTAGCTGATAGTAAACAAAATAGTCTTAGTATTCCAGTTAGTAGTAAGTATAATAGTTTACATATTATATATTATATTTATCAGTATAAAATGTAATTAATTTATTTTATTAAAGAAATATCCAAGGATTACAATGAGCAAAATAATCCGAAAATATCAGTTGGTAAGATTTATTATTAAAATATTATATTTTTGAGTTTAGTTTATAAAATCTAAATAATTAAAAACTTTGTAACTTAGATATAAATAAGGGCAGGATTGCTTCAAACAATTCCGATGGTAATAGCTTTTTATTATTGTTTGTAATAGCAAATAATCAAGTACTTATAATAATAATTTTTTCCTTTCAATAGAAAATTGTGAATCTAAAAAAATAAAAAAGATTAATAACAAAGGTAATTTTTAATAGAAAAACTTTTTTTAAAATTCTTAATATTTAATAATAATTTATTTATTTTAGGAATTTATGTAAACTATATAAATAATGAAGTTGAAACGCAGTATATTAGAAAAAAGCCATATCGTAAATAATGGTAAAAAATATATATATCTATTTAAATTATTCTATTACCTATTATATACTTAATTTATTGGATTTATAGATGATGAAGAAATATGCAATAATTCAAATCTTCATTCAGAAGATCAAGATGAATTGGAAATTCCTGAAGGTAAAAATTTATGTAAATTAAATAAATATTATACTGTATTTTATATTCACAAATATTTATGATGATTTTACTTTATATTTATATACAGAAATTTAATACAAATGTTGAAGGTGAAATAATTTTATTTTAAGTAACCATCGATGATTTTTATTTAAACACTAAGATTAGATAAAAAAAGTTTCTTAGTCTGTAATTTAAATATTTCGTAATATTAGTTTATTTGAACATAATGTTATAGAATAATAGTCATTATATTTGAAATAAACTTTGGAATTTAATAGTTTAAGTATGCGTACCTATAATCAGTTTAAAATTTTCTATGAAATTCATGAATATTTTTTTGAAAGCAAATGCATCTTTATAATAATCAAAATTTCGATTGTGAAATGGAATAAGGATTGGAATCAGACGGATTCGCTTGCATTAAATAAGTTTGACCCAGTTCAGGATTTAATAACCCGATATAAAAATAAGCTACCAGACGAAACATATGGGTGGTGATCTATTAAAATTGAGGTACGGATCATATGATTATGCCTCATGACTTGATTTTCTGGAAGTGTTCCCATATCATATCATATCGATATAATAATTAAAATAATAATTCAGAAAACCAAAATTGGGTTAATTAATTGTTAAGTATATTTTTGTTATACAGCTGAGAAAGAATATTAAAAGTTCAATAAAATACATCATAATTTACCTATGCGTGCCATAATTACATTTTTTGAAGCCTCCCTGATGACTTTTATTAACTAAATCAGTTAAATTCTTGATCTTCAGAAGTTTAATATTGTATTAGGAAAAAATAAATAAATTCGGAAATCTGATTGGCTTATTTGATATTTTCCTTGTTGACCATTCGGGGTCTTTGCAATAGAAAGGGGAAAAATAAAAAATGAGTTAATACATATTTCGGCCTGAAAATCATATTGATTTTTCCCGACAGATTCCCCCTTTTTATTGAAAGGCCCCATAATGTATGTAGACAAGCATAATTTTTTAAAAAATCAATTAATATAAAAATAAAAGTTATTTATAAATCTTTTTGCGTTATTTTATTTGTATTCACGTTCTAATGAAATACATTTTTTTTCAAAAAAAATTCTGTCGAACATACCAAGCAACTATTAAAATTATTATGTATGCATATTCAGAATAACAAAGAAGCAATGTGATCCTGAAGAGTTTCAATTGCTTCATCTTACTCTTATTTAAAAAAAATTCAAATCAAATGTTTCCAGGTACTCTTTAGATCAAAAAGGTATTTAGAGAATGAAATTAAATTCGTTTAATACAAAAAACTAAAACAAAATTTTCTATTTTGAAAACCTCTCACTTATATAAAGGCAATGATTTCAATGCTCTCTGACCAATATTTAAAAGATCAAGCATCTTAATACAATAAAATCTTAATCAAAGAAACAAAAAAAAAAACTATAAAATAAAATTTCCAAACAAGGAAAATAAAAATCGAAATCATGAAACAATTTTTGGTTTTTTTGCTCATTTTATTGATTTCGGTTTCATCAGTCCAATCTATTCACAATCAACTTCAAAAAAGACATATACCAAAGTTTACGGAAAATCGAGACCGTTACAGTATCTGGAAAGTTAAATAAATTAATTTCTGATGGTACCACGTTACGCCTTGGAATTAGTAATGGTGGTTGGGACGCGATATTTAGCGAAAGTGCGGATTTTTGTGCTGTACAAGGAAATCCTTGTCCCGCTGGTCCTGGTACAAAATTAATACGTCGGTTAAATCTAATTTACGAAATAACAAGACACCTGGACCTTTTAAGGTTTTGGTTCGTCTTGAAATCGTCTTGAAATTGGTGACGAAATTTTGGCCTGTTCCCATGATAAATAAATTAAATTATCGGGATTTCCTATTCTCGAAAATTTGAAGTTCTTTTTTATTTGTTTTTAATTTCATAAATTGTTGTGAATATTAATTTCAATATAAATATTTCGATTTAGGTTCCGAAAAATTTATCATTAATTTAATAAATTTGGTTAGCATCGCTTTTTTTAAATAAAATAAAGGTTTATTTTTTTATAAAAAAAGGAAATCTTTAAAAAAGTTTAAGGATATTATTCCGATAATGGACTGTAAAATTAATACGTCAATACAGTAAGACGATTTTTTTTTCTCATTAATAATTTTTCAATCAATTTGATTTTAGAAAATAAAAGGAATATTAGAAAATTTATTTTTTGAGTTGGAGTTTATTTTAATATCATTCAAAAAAGTACACTCAAAAATAAAATATCAATAACAACCCAACAAACCAAGCCAGTAACACTCTATACAATCGCATTTTCAAATTTTTCCTTTGAACATCTATTTTACTAAAAGCAAGCATTTGTTACTCCTCTATCATCAACTTTATATAACCAAGTTAGTAATGCTATTAATACATAATATCCATCCAATTGATATACAGATAATATATTTAATATACATAACATAATGCAAGTGAAAATGATGGTTCATAGTAAAATTTAAAATGTGACCCAATATAAATTTGGAAATTTAAAAGGATTTTATTAGCATGCTTTTTATATTTTTTGTCTACTTGTAAGTGTTAAAAGGGATTACTGATGAAAAACATTCCTTTTTATAAGTTTTGTAGTGGAATTGCCAAACATGACCGTATCACGAGAAACTGTTGTTCAGAAAAATTTTGGCCACGGAACAATTTGGCCGAAGGATATATTGGACAGAAGGGAAATTGACCGGGCGAAATTTGGGTAATTTGGTAACCTTCCAAAAACATTTTTTTTTTTAAAAAGAAGAAAAGAAAATTGATAAATGCAATATGATCATTTAGGTTCTAGAAATGAGCAATCAACCATCAGGATTTCATGTTCCCAGCATCACCGCGATCAATAAATCGTTCAACCTTTAAAAAATTTCAGGCTACTTTGAAAATTCTTAACCATTGACTCTGATAAGCTTAATTTGTACGTCATTAAGTTAACAATTCATATTTGCTAACAGGGAGTTTAAACTATGAAAGAAATATACACGAGTTTAATTAATTGAAGGGTCAGGTCGTCTTTATTGATATTTATTATTTGTAAATAATTAGTTAACTCTATCCTTTATTAAGGTATAGATGCAAGATATTTGTATAAAATATATCAATACAATATAGATATTTAATAAAGTTAAGAAATATAAAGATCACAAATTATAATTGGTACAGTAATTTTTGTAATTACTAACAACTCCTCCAATTTTACTTTGATTAACCTTAACACGAACACCACCGCCATCTATCACATTGCGTTAAGCACGCCGACGATTATTAAATCATACAATCAAGGAACCCAAACCCTAAAAAAAAGTTGATCCGTGTTTTAATTTTCATGTTGTAAACTAAAATCACAGAAATTTTCATATCATTTATACGCATTCCGTGAAAGGCCCATTTTCACGAAAATTTTATGTAAGCCACGGAGAAATAATGGAAACAATCAGGCGAAATGATTTATAACCAAGATAAATTGATAATAAGGGTGGCATGGCACTTTGAAGCATCCATGATGAATATAAAATTGTCCAATCACCTTCTAGAGTAGTTAATAATCCAATGTAACGTCATTTGCGTTCCAAAAATGAAGTTTACGCTTATATTCTTCGCGTTTGGCGATCTTTTCAAGAACATTCATAAAATTACGATCAATGTAGAAATGAATTTGATAAGGTTCAATTAACCAGGTAGTCTAATTATAATATCGAGTTGAACAATTCGTTTAAAATATGAATGTATCTAAGGAAGGAATTGATTTTAAACTCATGATGCTGCATACTTACCTATTGATCAACATCTTTGTGCTTAACGAATCTCGACCGTTAATTGTTTCCGTTTGTACAAATATAAATTTTTTTTTAAATTATAAGAATCGTATTAATATATCAAGGTAAAGTTTTTATTACCGGAAGATCAAATACAATTGCTTGAACTTGAGGGTATTTTGATTATTTTGCTCCACGCTTTATTATTAAGAGATTCATAACCTTGTATAAATGAATAACATGAATAACATGAGATCAATATCGAGTTTATTAAACTAGAATCATAAAAAAGATACCCCTCTTCCATGTGACCCAATGATCTTTCCATTCTATTTTGCTCTTTCCGAATCAAAACTTCAAATTCTTTTGTGAAATGAATGATATTTAGCTTTAAAAATGTTTCTCTATTTTTTGCAGAAAATGAACTTATAAACTTTACATAAAATATCGATCGTTACTGCATATAGCGCCAAACACAATTTTGATGATTTCTCCTCGAAACGGTAAAATATATTTAACCATCAACTTATGTCCAATTCCGTCATGAGAAAATACGCAATATATATAAATATACCAAATATAACTTTATTAATTTACAAATTGAAAATTTAACAAAAAAAATAAGTATATAAATGCGTATTTCTACGAAATTATAATAAGTTCCTAATCCGAATTCCTTCTCCCATTTCACATATTACGTCTGATATTGCTATTTTTTATCACTTTCCTGATATCTAATTGTATTGAACTAACTAAAGTTCCATGCAATGAAACGAACGAGAATTGTTTCTCGTCCGCTGCGCCGTGTTAAAGGAAGTTCTTTAATTGTGAACTTCAAATATTTCCTTCTTTCTTATCTATCACCCTCCATCCCCTGCTTCACACCTTTTAAATGCGTATAACTACCATTCTTAAACAAAATTATTTTAAATAAAAAACATAAATTGATACATAAATATTGCTTTTACCTTTTAAATGGCGCAGTAAAATTATTATGCAGATCGCGTGTGATTTATTGATTTATTACATGGGGTACGATAACAAATCAAAGTATTGAAAAAAAAATTTTTTCCAAGAAAGAAATATTTAGAGGGTTATCTTGCTGAAAAAGTCTATAGGTCTAATTTATTCTAAAAATGCAATTAATATCACCTTCCATTGTATTGATATTATTGATCCATTGATTTGAATGGCGCAGTACAAAGAAAATACATATCGTTCCAAGATTTCCGTCCTGTTTCAATTCATTGGACTTTTTATCGTCTAATACCAATCTAAGGATTTTATTTAATTTATCTAAATGATTTAGTTTACGTATTTGTGTAGATTTGGACATTTTTATTTAGGATTATAAATAGCTTAGCTATAAACGTTTTTTAATTAAATTGGACTGTATACTTTTTGAAGCTTGAAAAATGCTCTAATAAATTAATAAATAAATTATGAATATATATATATATATGTATACATATTAATAAACTTATATAAATAACTTTTTAGTTTTACAGTATTCCAGAATCGGCATTTAATTTTATTGATTTTTTCTAATTTTATCTTTTAAAAATGACTAAACTTATAAATTATGTAACGGTAAATTGGTCGACCAAAGAACTAAGAGAAACATGAAATGTAAGAGACAGATCGAAGTATCAGTAGCCAATTTGATCATGAAAAGAAAGGCAAGGCAAAGAAAAAGAAGTTTCAACAGAAGCACCAGCCGGCCTTTATGATTTGCTTCAATTGAAATTCAACCCGATTCTTAAAATGATACATTCAATGATAGAAGTATCATAATTCTAACCAATCCAAATGATAATGAAAATTCAGGATTTAAATGTACCTATATTGAATTTCCATGAGTCAGAATTACTTGCAAAGTTTAATGAATACTTAAAAAGGATAAAATAATCCTATTTAATTTAAGTATGGGAGTTATTAGATTAGTTATTAAAGTATTGAGCCTTTAAAGATTTAGGCAACATATCCCTTAAGGAATCGGGTACATTTGGTAAGCTAGATATTAGAGTATCGGTACAGTTAAGATAAATTAAGGAGTTGGGCAAGGTTGGTAGGATAGTTATTTTAGTAAAAGAGCAATTGAGTTTTATTAAGGAGTTGGGTAAAGTTGGTAGGATAGTTATCGGAGTATAAATGCAATTAAGTTCAGTTAATGAGTTGGGTAAAATTGGTAGGCTGGTTATTTTAGTATAAGAGCAAGAGAGATTTATTAAGGAGTTGGGTAGAGTTGGTAGGATAGTTATTTGAGTACAAGAGCAATTAAGATAAGTTAAGGAATTGGGTAAGGTTGGTAGGATGGTTATTTTAGTAGAAGAGCAAAAAAGTTCTGTTAAGAAGTTAGGTAAAGTTGGTAGGATAGTTATTGGATTATTATAACACGAGAGTTTTATCAAGGAGTTGGGTAAATTTGGTAGGATAGTTATCGGAGTATAAATGCAATTAAGTTTAGTTAAGGAGTTGGGCAAAGTTGGTAGGAAAGTTATTGGAGTGTAAGAGCAATAAAGTTCAATTAAGGAGTTGGGTAAAGTTGGTAGGATAGTTAGTTTAGTATTATGAAAATCGAGTTTTATTAAGGAGTTGGGTAAAGTTGGTAGGATAGTTATCGGGGTATAAAAGCAATCAAGTTCAGTTAATGAGTTGGGTAAAGATGGTAGGATAGTTATTTGAGTAGTATAAACCCGGAGTTTCTTTAAGGAGTTGGGTAAAGTTGGTAGGATAGTTATCGGAGTATCAGAGCAGTCAAGTTCCGTTAATTTTCGATATCTTTGTAATCCTCCTAAGGAGTTTAATATGTCATCCTTATTAGATTCCGTAATCTTTAAACTTTTGATTGTATCATCATAAATAATATCTGCATCTAATTCTACTTTCATCTGATCAAAATGATGAATAAGTTCGGAATTCTTTTGATAATTCATTTGATCAAATCGAATAATTTGAGAATTTTCTCCTAATAAATTATTTACGTTAGAAACAGCTTCGAAGTTATTTGATTCGTAATTTTGCATTTGATTATTTTCTTTTATGTTTGTTTTCGATACAATTGCATTTAATTTATCAACTACTTGATTCATTGATGGACGATTATCTGGCTCATTATCCCAGCACCCTGAAATTATTTAAAAATTTAAAAATTATTATATATTCTTATAAATAATTTTATAATCATATATTTACCAGTGTAGATCTTCACATAATCTTCGGGTGTGCCAGGAATGATCGTTTCTCTAAGTCCTCCCAAAATTTCGATAGCTAAACTTAGGTCGTATTCTTCATTCTTAATATAAAAAGGAGGTCGACCGCTCGACATCTCCCACATGAGAACGCCAACGCTGTAAACGTCGCTTTTTTCGTTGAGTTTGAATTGTGGTGATGTATTGTCATTTCTTCGTCTGCAAAAAATTTTTGGGTCAACATAAGGAATTACTCCAAAAGTTTTTGACTGATTAGTTGTCGCTTCAATTCTTTTCGATAATCCAAAGTCAGCTAGTTTAATGACACCTTGATGAATTAATACATTGCCGGAATGCTATTATAAGAATATAAAAAAAATGTTAATTATATAAACAATAATGTTTGGAAAAAAATATATATTATGTAAGATTACCAAATCACGATGCACAATTCCTTCGTTATGTAAACACAATACAGCACAAGACAACTGAAATGCCAAGTTGTATTTATCTCCCCAAGCAAGCTTATCGAAATTTTCCTTCAAATGGTTTTTAAGCGCACCGCCGTCAGCATATTCCATTACTAACCAATATTTTTTTAATTGATCATTTATTTCTAATTTTTTTTTTTTTAAAAAAAAAATATTTATAAATAATTTAAAAATAATGAAATAATATGCAAAGTTAATATAAATAAATAAATATTCGCATCATTTAAGATTTTGTACCTTGGTTTGACGTAATTCCCAAAAAACGGATGATATTGCTATGAAAATCAACTTCAAGTTGAAGTTCAAGCTAAATTATTAGAATATAAGTATTAGCAAAAGAGTTTGAACTAAAAATAGACCGAAATGATCGAAATAAACCGAATTACAATCTTTTATTTTGTAATTACCTCATGAATAATTTTTTTAATGGTGTCATTACTAAAGTTATGAAATGATTTTAACGCGAAATTTGATTTGAACTTTTCCAATTTGCACGATAGACTTTCCCAAAGCCGCCTATACCAATTTCTTGAAAATTGCTAAATTGTTTAAATTCATAGTATTTGATACTTTTCCTAGAGATATATTCTTCAACCGACTCGTTCTGATTATTGATGTTTGCATTTTGATAAATTTAGAAATAAAAATATTCCGAAAAAAAAAATATACTAAGCCACCAGTTCATTTGGTGATCGGCTATTAAAATCACCTTACGGATCTTACTATGTTCCGTAATTCCGTAAGGTGATTTTAATAGCCGATCTCATTTTTAATTATTTTATTTCTTCAATTAAAAAATATATTATATTTAAATAAATTTTTTTTTATTTAAAAAAGAAAAAAAGAATAATAATGATTGCTTTATACATTTCTGGTTATAATAATTTCATAAATTAAAAAAGGATTTCTATTAACTTGGATAGAGATAATTCTTATTTCGTTCCGAGTTAAACTATAATAAATGCAGGTCGGGTTCAAGGTTATGTAAATTCTGACATGACGTCATTTGCATACTCAGTTTATGTAAAAAAAATGTTTTAAACAGGAAAAAATAAAAAGCTTGCGTCATCGTTTTTATTGTTTTGAATTAGCGTTGCACTCAGTTAATATTTATAAACAAATGGAAAAGGTTCTGTGAAATTTCTGCGGCTAATAAAATAACGATCCTAATGGAAATGTCTATTTCTAATCTAATGAATAAATGCCATCTATATCTCTGAACCTAGTTTGTAAAGTTGGGCAAGTTGACCACAGGACGAATTGACCTCCGGCCAAATTGACCACTGGTCAAAACGATCTCTAGTAAACTTGTTCTCTGGGCAAGTTTTCCTTTCAAATTTAATTTATAAAAAGGCGGGATCGATTCTTGGGTTCGAAGAGACAGTTGCTTACAATGATATCTTGAATAAAATATAATTTCCCCGATATTCCCTTATTTTATATTTTAATGGTTGTAGTAATTTCGTAATATCGACATTTTAGATAAATTTTTGCGTAATTATTACATAATTAAAATCCTTCTGCTATATTATACATTCGTTTATAAATATAAACATTAAAGAACTGATCGCAACACAAGCATCATTAAATTTTCAAATTATTTATTAAATCATAAAAACAGAGTATAGATTTTAATGAAGTATTTTTCAGAAATTGAATTATTTAGCGGGAAAGATACTCTCTCCTCGTCGAAAAAAGAATTTAAAATATTATTATAAATTGGGTTCGTAGTTCTAATTGGTTACAGCAACTATTAGCAAACTATAATAACGGTATCAACAAAAACTTTGATTAGTCGTATTTACGTAATAAAAAAAGGAAGGTAATTATAATTTTTTTTAAAAAATTAAATGTTCTGAGTATTGTAACATGATTACATTATTATCTATATATGAATCGAAAAATGTCAACTAAAGAAAAAGATGCTTAGTTGAATATTTAATTTGAGTTTTGAATGTGATTTTTTCTTTGAAGAAATTATTTGAAATATTGAAGGGTTTCTGATGATATGGACTAAGAGTTAATTATGCTTCATCAATTTTTTAAAAAAAAAATACCAAGAATAATCTTTCTTTCTTAATGATCAAAGGTTTTGCACGCTCATATTATTAAAAAATTTTTTATTATATTATCACAGAGCAACATTATATTACATAGAAAATATGTTTTTAAATAGATTTTTTTTGCGATTTCTATATATAAACGAACAAACATGAAAGAAATTTTCTTTCTTATTATTTGTAACTATTATGCGAAATCTTTATCTTACCAGAATAAGCAAAAAAAAAAAGGTTCGCCAATTAATACATTTACGATGCAATCATTACAGAAAGTATTTAAAAGACCATACCTCTAAAAAATATTCAAGAAATTCTCTTTCATCTCTTCATCAGATGTTTCAACATAATTATTGGTTTTCGGTTGATGGACGAAAACGTTTTTTAGGTCTCTCTGAGACCTCCCCAGAATCCATGCACTCATCATCGTCTTCAATAACAGACGTAAAATAGACAGAAATAACATTCTGTTTCACTTTAATTCTTTTCCTTTTACCTCGTTGGTTTTCTTTATATTTTTGAATCAATGATGAACTTTTACATATTTCTTCAATATCTTTATGGTGGCTTTTATTATCAAACGATTCATTCATTGACAATGATCTTTTCCTATCTTCCGCGTATTCAATCGATTCATTTGAAAATGATCTTTTCCTTACCACCGCGTCATCAAAAGAATCAAAAGGTAACGATCGTTTCTTTTCCACTATGTAGTCAACCGATTCAATGGGTAATGATCGTTTCTTTCCTATTATATAGTCAACAGATTCTTCAATTGTTAATGATCGGTTATTTCCTAATATACCATTAATTGATTCCTCAGTAGGCAATGATTTTTTCTTGGGTATAGTATGCCATTTCTTGCAATAATTAGCCTTTTCTTTACTGGCCATAATAATCAACTCTAGTTCTCCTTCTTGAATAGATCCATAAAGTTTTTTAAGGTGCTTTAAATTGTTAAAATATTGTTTAACTTCCTTGGTATTATCAGTTCCAAGAAACTAGGAGTAGATACCACTGTTTTATTATAATACTGTATTTACATCAATTTTTGAAATAAAATATATATATATATATATTACCTTGTAACGTTTGATCTTCCTGTTTTTAGCATCAGGGGTCTTCTCCTTCAAATTGTCATGCTCAGGTATGGTTAAGAATTTCACTTCTTTATCACCCTTCGTACAAAATAAATATTTATAAATGTTTATTGGGTTTAAAGTTAAGTGATTGTTACATACCTTTACGATCGGTGTGATGAATTTCCGTAAACAACTTTTTGATGTATACTTTTTTCCATGATTCCGTCCAATGATTTTAATTATTTGTTGATTTTCTGAGTTATTCATGATCGTGTGTGATCCTTCACGTACATTTAAAAGTTTTCTCTGAATTGGGAAAATTCCATAAATATCACACTCAACCTCGGAAAGCTCGGCAACTTCCAAAGATTTTGAAGCTATCTTTGTAATACAATCCATAGCAAATCTGCCGCTAGCGTTGTTTACTTCTTCCAATTTCGAAATAGCAGTGATTCTATTAAAAATATTTCGGAGTCTAGTTAACAAAAATTTTTTATCAATTCCCTCCGACAAATTATTTACTTCTTGTTCTTTTTTCCATCAGTCTTCTCTAATTCTTTATTTAGTTTAATATTAACTTCTTCCATAATGCGGTCAACGATATCACATTTGAAAACTATTATATAGGGTAATTAAAGGATTATATATATAATTTAAAACATAAAGCGAATTTATATAATATTCTATGAATAATATAATCATTTACGTTTATTTAAGAAAGCTTCACTTGGACATGTAGATCCAAATGATGTGGCTTTTAATGTAAGGTCATCTTTCGTCAGGGAATCGAATGATGGGTTTTCAATCGAACAGTTGATGAATATATGATTTTTGATTTGATCCTTTTTAAAGTTTGCGTCCTTTTCTCTATTTCTAATTGCTTTCATAATCTTTTTAACAAGTTGATTTGCGATGTAGTTAACGTGTGTACCTCCTTTTGTAGTACATATTTTTTTAACGAAGCTTATCTATTATTTTGAATGAAGAATTAACGAATAACGTAAAATCATACGATTTTTTCGCATTATCATTTAATGCAAGATCAAGTAAAAAAATTTTACTTACATGATGGAATTGAGAATCAGTAGAAGGAAGAGCTCCAATTCCCCGTCGTTCACCACATTTATCACATATTAATGAAAATTGTAAGTCTTCGCGATCAATCACATATAATTGCATATATTCTTTAGAATTGTTGATGTTTAATTGTTCATTATTCAAGAACACTTGAACTTCATCAACACAACTAGCGATGTCGTATACACGCTTTTTTAAAAGGGCAATAATGTCATCATCTAACCGATTCATGTTAAACTTTTGAAAGTCAGGTTTGAAGGTGACCAATGTGTATTCACCATCACCTTTAGAACAAGAGGTAATAATTGGTAGTTCGATTACAGTCATATTGTTTCGGAAAGTTTGGCGATATTTCTTGCCATTTGAAATTGTTTCCACTATGAATTCCGTACTGTATATGTTCGTTAATTTAGCACCGATGCCATTACGTCCACCGGAAACATTATTTTCCTTATTATCAAAATTTGAAGATGTAAAAAGTTGCGAAAAGATAAGTTGAGGTATATAGACTTCTTGGTTCTTATGCATTTTTATAGGTATTCCTTTTCCGTTATTAAGGATGGAAATTTGACCTCCTTTTTTGTCAATATCAACTTTAATAAGATTCATTTTTTGGTCTCGAACCTAAAATTAACAAAATTTAAATAATCAGCAGTACACAACATAACGACCAAAAGTAACTGACAGACATACCTTGTTGTCAACAGCATTTAACAAGATTTCATCCACTATTTTATACAACCCAGGTACGTAGGTAATTTCTCTATGAGATGAAATATATATGATATATGAGATTATAAACTTGAAAGACGTGTTTTCAAACCATTATAAAAAATTTACCTGTAAACAAGCTTATGTGATTCAGAATCAAAAACCCATCTCTTTTCTTTTAAATATTCAAGGGAGCCAACATAAAAATCGTGTCTCATCAGGACGTTTTCTACTGGAGATTTTTTTTGATATATTTCTTCAACTGTTTTATCTTTTTGTGTTTTGGCTTTGCTTGGCGAGACCATATCTTCTTCAACAGCTGATTTTGGTGTCGTGTTAGACGCTTGTTGTTTACGAGGTTTTTTAGGTGTGATTTTCGTCTTGGTAACTTTTTTTGAAGTTTTAGTGGAGGTTTTCGAAGCGTTCATTTTGTAAGAGTAAATTATTTTATTTTTTTGAAAAAAAATTTTTTAAGCTCTTTCAAAGAACGTATAAATTATTTATATTTTATTTATTACGTTTTACATTATTTTCATTACTAATCAATATTATGTGTAATATGACCTTGAATCGTCAGAGTAACTATGTAGACTAATATACTTTACAGAATAATAAAGAAACTATCAATACTTTTAGGTTTTGTTTGTGATAACTACCAATTTTGATTCAAACAAGCTTTAAAAAGGTACTGACTTCAAAAGTGCAATTCCGAAATATTCATATCAGTAACGTTTTTTTTCTGAAAATGAATTTAATCAAAGTATATTCATTCATAAACGGACTTTAAATTTAGCTATTACACAATAAGTTGACGATTTTAAGTCTTGAAATATCTTGTAAAAAAAAAGAAATGTTAACGAAGTAGCAAGTATCTGGTGGTCTAGAATTTATATTTCGTTCTTTTTCAATTTTTGGAATTTTTTGGCCTACATAAAAAAAAAAAAAAAATTATTTACAAGGCAAGATCTATAGCCATTCATTGACAATAATTTTATTTAAATGATAATACATACAATATATTAGCGGAAATTTCAAATTACTAGATTAGACAGAGTCAGAATATAAAGAATATAAAAAAATTTTTTATCGGTAAAACGATTACTTGCGTATGTTTATTTTTATTATTTAATATCGATTTTATTTTAATTAGGAAGAGTTGGTGGCTATGAAAAAAAAATTAAATGTCCACCCAAAAATGTCCTAGAAATTATATTTTGTGGACAAAAATAAATTAATTTATTACACACGGTTACGGTACGTTTGGCCGAAATCCAATTGACCGAAACCCATTTGGCCGAATGTACATTTGCCCTAAAATACTACCTCACCGAATGACCCGTTCACCGAAAGTCCAAAGTCCATGACCAGTTCACCGAATGGACATTTTACCGAATCTACCGAAAATTTAATGATTTTCCTTCCAATTAAAATTAATTTTTTAAAAAATACTGATTAAGATCAGATATCATCAATCATAAAGCATTTTAATTTTAATATATACTATCTTTTTATTGATTAATATAATGTATAAAGTTAAAAAAAAAAATTTTAATTCATTAATAGAAAATTTTAATTGGGCGGCAAATCAAAATCATTAAAATTGTCGGTAAAATGTCCTTCGGCGAAACGGATTCGGTAAAATGTAAAAGAAAGATATCAACTATTTGTCCACTTTCTTGTTAGTCAAAACTTCTTGATATTGATACAATTTCAAAGATAGATACTTTTACGTATAGTTCCGTGCATGAACTTCATTAAAAGGAGCATTATTTCACTGAAATGAGAATTTATTTGTGACATTATTGATATTTTCTATTATTAATTCGTACCGAAATAGTATCATGCGACTGTACATCATTCCATTAATATATATTCATAAATTTTTGCGCGAGTTCGTTCCCAAGCCTTTCTGACATCACTTCGCGAGGATCTTGTCCGTTAAAATGTTATCAAAATTATCTCGTTTCATATGAATCATTATTATTAATTAAGAGTTCGAAAAAGTGAGAAACGCTGAAGCAAGAATATAACTTGGGAAATATGTTTTTTGACAAATTATTGTATAACTTTTACGTCATACATTGTCTTAATATGTAAATTAAAATCAAACTTTCAGTAACATTCTTCTTATTCTGCAATAAAAGAGTCCCTAATAAAGTAATACAATATCAAGTGTGTTACCATACCAACAATACATGATTTTTAAATATTAAATAAGGATACCATAATGCAAAAAAAGGCAATTTTTTAAACTACTTTGATATAACGAAATAAGTTAGCTAAGATATTACTATAGTAGGAAGCCTTAAAGAAGGAGTATGTTGGAACAAATCCTATATAAGATTTAGACTTTAATATGTAATTCAATTTTAATAACAAACGACCCATATGATCAACTTATACATATAATATAAAAATAAAGTACAATTTTTATTGAGTAATTTGTGTCAGTGAATCATAAGTAGCAATGTGAAATATGATTAAGTAATATTACCTTTAATTAATAATACGTTTTTTTTAATCTGTGTCCCTATTAACATTCTTTGCATCATTAAATTCTGGTGATAAAGTATTCAATTCTGATTTTGTTATTTGTCAACCAATGACTTCTGATAAATCTCGTGGTCATGATGACTTATTATTCATTTTTTTAAAAAAAAATCCTCATTGTGATATTAGAATATAATTCTTTAGCTTTATTCAAAATTAATGGGACATAAAAGAAAACTTTGTATTTTCCCGTATAGTTATGGTGTCACAAATATTTATGGTCTGTACGAACAAATAATAAATTTAGAATAAAGCCAAAACTATTAATATATTCAATCTAATGAACTTTAATAAATAAAATATTTAAATCATTGGTTTTGGAAATATATTCTATATATCAAAATAATTAATTAATTTGTGAATTAATAAAAAATTTTATTTATTCTATTGCTTATACTCATTATAATTGCTAGTTTTATTATCATCATAGCGATTTAACTCGGCAAATATAGATTTTTTTTGGTATATTTCTTCAGTCTTGCCTATACAATTGTAACACAAATATAATTATCAATCGTTATATAATCATGATTATAACATTTATTAATGCCATACTCTTAGCCAAAAATAAACTTGAATAATCGCTATATTCATGCCGTTTAATCCAAATATATATAAATATAAAATATCATTTATTATTATATAAAAACCAAATAAGAAGTTGTAAGTTCCAACTTAATTGTTGCTAATGCACTTTCCCAAAACGTGAAACAGTAAGACAATATCCGGTCAGTGTAAAGTTTATATGTGGAATGTAAGTTAATTGTTCAAGGGCAAGATAACTAATAAAAATAAGTGTAATAACCATACCACGCTATCAAAGAATAAAAATATTGTCAGATCAGATACCCTTTTAAAAAATTAAAATAAATCTTGCTGCGACATTTCTTGATAAATTTTAATCCACATTAACATATCTTGTTTAATTCAAAAAATAAATTGTGCAATTTTCTCAAAAAATATAAAATAAATTGGGTCGTTTGCTATTAAAATAAGGCATAGTAATCATTTGATCTAAACATGGATTTTAATAGCAAACCTACCAATTTATAAAAATTATTTCTTTTAGAAAAAAACACCACAGCTGTAGAAATCTTTTTCCTACTTTTGCCATAGTATAAACATATATTTATATTTTGTATATGTCTTTACTGCTCTATAAGTTCAGTTAATTCAATTTGATAGAGGTAAAGAATCATAATAGGATTTCATTCATCAAGGTTACACAAAATTTTGCTCGATGATTTAAAAAAATTATCATGATGCAAAGACTTAGACTTCCTTTCTTCAATTATTTTATAATTTTCAGTTTTTTGAAGTCAATATAAGTGTAAATAAATTAAGTTTAAATCTCCCCTAGATTAAAAAAATACCCTGCATTCACAAATTTCAATTGTCATCGCGATTGTCTTATAAATAAATCCTGCGCTAATGGTAAATTATTATTGCTTTTTAAAATTAATCATTTATGACTCTTTATGAAAAAATTGACTACATATGGAACCATATTTTTTTTTAATAAATATTACAACATTTCCTCTGAAATTTGGTGATTTTAGTTTATCGGTAGTGATCATCAAGTGCTATTCTGAATATTTCTTCAACAGAATCTAATAATAATTATTTTGACATACGTTATTGACATTCCCAACTCAGCAGTTAGTATATCTATCACTAATTATGAAGAGAGAAACTTGCTATTAATACATGGTTGACTCGCCAAGAAAGTTTTTTATTTTCTGTTTAGAAAAACTCAACATTTCTTTCCTTTGATCAATTATTGTCGAATAAATAAAGAAAAATTACCAAGGAAGTTAATATATACGCCTTGAATTGTACCGAAAATAGGCGTAAGATAAGCAAATTAATATTTCAAAGTACAATTTAAAAATATATATGTAATTAATTAAAATTCCAAGATTGATAAATAGACTAAAATACACAATTCTAAAAGTTATTACTTTTATGTAGTAACTTCAGTAAATATGACACAGAAATTTACAGTGGATTCTGGCTTCTTCAAGTCCAAACTCGTTAATATTATTTTGCTATATACATCCAACCAAATGAGTTACGTGATTAAAAAACTAATATGCTTGCTGGGTAAGTAATCTCATTGAGTTATTTATTGAATCAGTAATCTATGACTGCGGCGAATCTTGTGACCCAGTTGATGGGATACTTATATTATTTGCTATATTTGTTAAACCAGTTGGTTAATATTATAATAAATTATTATTAAAAATATCATTATTATATTTGTTATATTTATTATGTATATGTAGATGACTTAGACCTGATTTTGTTTATGAAGAAAGTGAGCAGGAATACAAAGAACTGGAAGACGATGACTAGATTCAACCTGATTGGATGTTACTATCTGAGAAGAAACCAGATGCGATTATGGAGAAATCTTTAGACTTGGGTTTACGATTACTAAATATTAATCCTGAGTTGGTGATTTTAGACAAAGTTGTTCTGATCTCAATCTTGCAGATACACCTAATTTTATACAGCAAGCTCATCTCGTAGGCATTGTTAATGATGAGATTTACAAATTGTGTTATAAATAGACATTCTGCCAATGCTAATCGGATGAGTATATTCAAGCAAATAGAATCTTACTATTAAATCTTAATCACAAATCCTGGCAAGTTTAACTTTTCAGACTTATCGTGGAAATCATATATTGATTAATATAATTCGTGATCGCCTCTGGGAAATTGTAAGGAACAGTATAATCAATTTGCAATCATCTGTTCTTGTGCTTTCACCGAACGGTGTTGCAGTATAATAATCCATTCAGCACTATTCATTCTAATATCTAAAAATAATCCTGACTTGAATAATGAATGTTTAATTAACCTACAAAAAAGAT